CCCTGGCAGAAGCACTCCACAGCTTTTCACAGCTAGATGTTATGTGAGTACCCTCCTCAGCTTGGTGCTCTTTACTGAGGAACCCGCTTTGGGATTAGATCTCAGTGGCAACCCCCACAACTGAGATAACTCTCCAGGACTTCAGTTGCTATCTGTGGGTGCCCAACCAGCCCGTTCGCGCCTCCGCCCCTCCTACCAGTCTCTATGTGTTCTCCACGTTCAGTCCTTGGGTATCAGAGTTCTCTCCTGTGAGTTTTCCATTGATTAATCAGGAAGCCTTTCCATATTTCAGTTGTAATTCCAGCTTGTTCCTGGGAGCATGTCCCTGCAGCATCCTTCTACTTTGCCGCCATTTTTAATCCAGATCACAGTATACTGTTTTTACCTGATAATAGACAAACATGTAAATTGACCATCTCTCCACTACCCTCACAAGCCAATCAGGAGAGTATGCAAATTAACCCAACAAAGATGGCGGTTAATTTGCATACGTAGGCACGAAGCGGCGGAGCAAAGATTGAAGGCTCTGGCTGGAGCAGCGAAGACTGAAGGCTCTGGCCGGAGCTGGCAGCCAGGGGAAGGGAAAGCCTATTGCATGAATCTCTTTGTGTAATGGGCCTCTAGTCTATAATAATAGATAAACATGTAAATTGACTGTCCCTCCACTATGCTTACCAGCCAATCAGGAGAGTATGCAAATTAGTCCAACAAAGATGGCGGTTAATTTGCATGCAAAAGTGCCCAGTGGCCTGGGTCCCAGGAACATCATCGGGCACCCAGGTCACTCCGAGGTAGGTCACGTGTGGGCCCTGAGCAGCCTAGGAAGGGCCTGAGCCAGGGGGCTCCTGGGCAGGGCCTGAGCCTGCGATCAGAGCCAAGGGGGCCCCTGCCCAGGCCTAACGCCTCTGCCAGAGGCCTTAGGCTTGGACAGGGGCAGAGCTGGCAATCGGAGGGAGCTAAGGGTCCCCTGCCCAGGCCTAACACTTTGGCCAGAGGTGTTAGGCTTGGGCAGGGGCAGAGCCCGCGATCGGAGGGAGCTGGGGGTCCCCTGCCCAGGCCTGAAGCCTCAGGCAGAGGCTGTAGACCTGGGCAGGGGCAGACCCGGTGATCGGAGTGAACTACAGAGGAAACACCTTTTCTGACCACTCATTGGCTAAGTTTCCTGTATGCCACTGGCAATATTCTTAGTAACTTGGGTAATAAGAATCCAAAAAGGTGATCTAGGGTCTTTCCACCACACTTCTGGAGAAAAAATTGAAGGTCCACTGCTGGAATGTCATATCCTAGGAAAGACACATCTTGAAAATGTCATATCCTGCCCTAGCCGGTTTGGCTCAGTGGATAATGCCTCGGCCTGCCGACCGCAAGGTCTGGGTTCAATTCTGACTAAGGGCATGTACCTAGGTTGCAGGCTCCTCCCTGGCTGGGGCCCAGGTCAGGGCTCATGCAGGAGGCAACCAATCAAAGTACTCCTCTCACTTCGATGTTTCTCTCTGTCTTTCCATTTTTCTTCCACATTCTCTAAAAATCAATGGAAACATATCCTGAGGTGAGTATAAAAAAAAAAAAGTGGTGTGAAAGTGGAAATCCTGTCTTGTTCCTGATCTTAAAGAAAAAGCTTTCAGCTCTTTACCATTGAGTATAACGTCGCTGTGGATTAACCATATATGGCACTTTTGCATGAATTTCATGCACCGGGCCCCTAGTACAATCTGTGATAATAAAAGTGTTATATGCTAATTAGACCAGACATCTTTCTGGATGACCTTCCAGATGAAGCCACGACAGCGGGGGCTGAGGCAAAGGCAGCTGCCTCGATGGCTGGGGCTGAGCTCCTTGCACTAATTTTATGCATTGGGCCTCTAGTTTTTAATAATATCTCTCCTTTCATTTTTGCCTGCTAATTGAATTTAACACATTTTTCAAAATGTACTTATGCAAACTCATTTTAGATGTAATTTCAAGATGAACTATTTGCAGTAGAGTTTTTAATGAAATGGGGTAATGTTCGATTTATTAGGTTAAAAAAAACAGGTTGCAAAAAATAACGGGAAAAAAAACAGGTTGCAAAATGGTACATACAAAATTACATGGAAAATACTTTCACATAAGCATTCAACACTTAAAGAGCATCTCTGCTTGATTGGTATGAGTGATTTTTCATTTTTTGTGTGTGCTCTTTTGTGTTTTCCAAAATTTCTATAATAAGTCTATGTGTTTTGATTAGCAATGTAATTTACTTGCCCCACCGGCATGACTCAGTATTTGAGCACTGATCTATAAATCAGGAGGTCACAGTTTGATTCCTGGTCAAGGCACATGCCTACGTTGCAGGCTCGACTCCCAGTGGGGGGCATGCAGGAGGCAGCCCATCAATGATTCTCTCTCATCATTGATGTTCCTATCTAACTCGCCCTCTCTTTTCCTGAGATCAATAAAAATATATTTTAAAAAAGGAAATGTAATTTACTAAAAGTTTCTGTATTTATTTAAGGAAGTGGAGTATTTCACTAGTATTAATAATTGACACTGGTCCTCATGTTTTCTTGGAAGTACCTGTATTGAGAATGTTTCTGTTTCTGACTTATATTTGAGTATTTTTTGAATCATAGCTTGAAAAAGATTTTGAGTGTTTGACTTGCTTAGAGCAATACAAGAAAATTTATTGGAATCTATATTAGCCTCTTGGTAAATCAAATTGCTTTGGGGCCAAGTAATCTAAAATTAGGATGGTAAATGTTATTTATGTTAAAATGAATAAAGAGGAATAAGGACAGTTTTGAATGAGGTATCTAGCAATTTAAAAACAAATGAGCAGTTTTTAAGATTTACCTTATTATGAGTTTATTTTGGCATGGCATTTATGGCTTAGAAGATAGCCTTATTAAAATACCACTCTGCACAATATATTGTGATATGTTAATCAAACCACTAACAATCATTGTTACATAATTGTTATGCTACTTTTTAAAAATAATTTTTCCTAGTTTTAGATCATGAGCTAGTTAAACAATATGAGTTATTCAATAAAGTCATAAGGTAAGGTATATTAAAATATGTTGAAAGAGTCTGTTCTTTTATCTATTTGTCTGAATTCATAATGCAAGAGGTAAGTAACAGATTACGTCACAAAATATTTTTAGAGCTTAAGGTATTTAGAATCTACCTAATTCTTTTTGTCTTCTTTCTTTCCCTCACTTAAAATTGATTCTGCCAGGTTCCCAAATAGTATGTGAAGGTTGTTTTTTCCCAAAGATTCTCATTGATTATGTGGAAATATAAAGGAAATTTTTTTCTGGTATGAGGCATTTTCACCAGTTATAATTTACATTTGTAGGAAGATCTGGATTGTGAATAGTTCTTAATTCTATATAGTTTACATCCCTTATCTGCAACATTTCAAATTTTCTCTTGACCACAGTGAAACAATAGACATTAATATTCCATTAATTTTGTTATTGTTTAACATGGGAAAAAAGCACCCCTGGTAGAATTGTATTCGAATTACTTCTTGGCATGAACCCAAGAAAAATAGCATTAAGTTACACAACTTTTCATTAACCAATTTGTTTTCCTTGACAGAGATTAATATGCCTCTAACCTGATATCACTGCCTTAGCAAAATCACACACTAATAATATTTTATTGTTTTGCTGTAGATGTGTTCTTTGTGCCATTGTCCTGGAGCAACAATTGGTTGTGATGTGAAAACATGTCACAGGACGTACCACTACCACTGTGCATTGCATGATAAAGCTCAAATACGAGAAAAACCTTCACAAGGAATTTACATGTAACTATTCAACTTCTCTTTAAAGTTTTTTATCAGTTATACTTTCTTTAGGCTTTTTAAAAAAAATTTCCCCATTTCAAAATATTTCATCATCATAAAGAGTGCTTTCGGTAAATAATTTAATGCTTAGTGAAATGGCATATAAAGTTTAATAGTAAGGTTTTGGGAATCTAGCTTGTAATTGGGGTAAAGCGTATTCCTCATTTTTTTAAATTTGAAAAATGGGTTTAGTTTGTTTACTTGATAATTTTTAATTTCTTCATTTTTATAGGGTTTATTGCAGGAAACACAAGAAAACTGCACATAACTCTGAAGGTACGTCATTCAGTCAATTGTCAATTTCAAGAAGAAATTTGAGTAAAATATGAGTAAATTATGCTATATTAACTTTTACCATTGGATGTACCTCAATATTGAATACGTTTTGAAGAATTAAGAAAAGCATTAGGATAAACTAATGTACAATAGTGAAAAAGATCTGAATTTTTTAAAAAACTTTATCTTAAAGTTTTTGTAAAGAGTTAATCAAATGATGCTAATGGTTAGGGATTTCTGTGTTTATATAAATGTTTTAGTGGATTATAGAGTTAATAATTGGCCTACTGTCTAATATAGAAATGTGAACTGAGGATACTAGTACATTTTGTCATCACCGGGCTTTCTGTTAAATTTTTATTTACATTGTAGTACTTGGTTGTTGTTTTTTAATACAGACATGTTGATAAGAAGTAATCAAGTTTTAAATATAAACCCAAAATTACTTTATAGTTTCTTTTTATTTAAATTTATACAAGACCGGGTTAATTATTTTTTATGTAAAGTTAGCCAAGTTATACTTGGTTTTTAAAAGGTATGGGAAAGTTCTCAAATTGAATTCTCACTTGTTTTAAACTTTTTCAAACAGGTGGTTTTGACACTTTTACATCCTATATTATAAAAGGCAAATATGAAAATTGTCCCCTCTATCAGGAGTTCTACCCAGAGTTCGACCAGGGTGTGGGGCCGGCCAGCCAACCTCCCGTGTTCCCTCTCCCTGGCTGGCCCGGCCTATTGGCCCCAATCAGGGTGGGCCGGCCGGACCCCACCCATGCATGAATTCATGCACCAGGCCTCTAGTGTAATATAAAAAGGCTTAAATTTCATCTCATATTGTTCTGTCCTTCCATTTAGATTAATGATCTTTAAAGTGTTTTTTTTTAAGTTTCCTAGAATGTGTTGCTTAGAATTAGAATAGTTTTAGCCTGTTGTTTTAGGAAGTTGTTTCTTTATAAAGAATTACCCAGCCTAGCTGGCATGGCTCAGTGGTTGAGCACACAACATATGAACCAAGAGGTCACAGGTTCAATTCCTGGTCAGGGCATATGCCTGGGTTGCAGGCTTGATCCCCTGTGTGAGGCGAACAGGAGGAAGCCAACCAATGATTCTCTCTCATCATTGATGTTTCTATCTCTCTCTCCTCCCTCTCCCTTCCTCTCTGAAATCAATAAAAAATATTTTTTAAAGAAAAGATTTACCTAATTATCAGTGTTAGGATATTTGTGGTCTTTTTTGATCTCTTAGAACTTGATTTTATAATACAAACTGGTATTTCTTCTACTCTGGACTCCAGATTAGTCCAAATACTTTTAAAGTGCTGGTTAGCCCTCGCTGGTTTGGCTCCATGGATAGAGCATTGGCCTGTAGACTGAAAGGTCCCAGGTTCGATTCCGGTCAAGGGTACATGCCCGGGTTGTGGGCTTGATCCCCAATAGGGGGCGTGCAGGAGGAAGCTGGTCAATGATTCTCTCATTACTGATGTTTCTCTCTTTCTCCCTCTCTCTTCCTCTCTGAAATCATTAAAAATATTTTTAAAAAGTTCTGGTTAAAAATACAGTCGTTAGCAAAAACTTGTTTTTAACATAAACAGATTAGAAAAACAATAGCAAAGTGTTTTTGAAGTGCTAAAGTGCAACTGATAAACCTTAATAGTGTTTTGTTTTGTTTTTAAATGTATTTTTATTGATTTCTGAGAGGAAGGGAGAGGAAGAGAGAGATAAAAACATCAATGATGAGAATCACTGATTGCCTGCCTCCTGCACTTCCCCTACTGGGGATCGAGCCTGCAACCTGGGCAAGTACTCTTGATCGGAATCGAATCCAGGACCCTTCAGTCCATAGGCTGATGTCCTGTCCACTGAACCAAACCGGCAAGGGCAACTTTTATAGTGCTTTTCTTCAGTTTCTTCCTTACTTAATTCTAGAATTGAATTGAAAACCTTTTGTGAAAAGTTAAGCGTAAGCTTTCCCGCCTTCTACTTCAGATTTTAACAGTGTATTTATTTGATTCCCTTTAAGATTGTAGTGACCATATATGGCAAGCCAAGGATTGAGACTTATGACCTGATGAACACAAGTATATGAGCATACTGAGGCAGGAAATTTGAGGATGGCAGCAAATGATTTAGACATCTCCCCTTTTATTCTTTAGATTTCTGAAGCTGATAGTACCATCTAGTGGTGGAGGAAAGTCACTGCAGACTATGTAAAGTTGAATAATTTTGACCACTTTATGCTTTGAGAAACATATTAATGAGAACTATCTAAATACATACTTTTCAAGATGAATTTTCTTTTAATGTAACTGGCAATATTATTACAATTCAAATTTTTGATACAATTGATTCGATTTTTGAGTTTTGTGTACTTTTATACACATTGTGTTTATACTCAAATTGTAGAACTTGAAGCATAATTTTACAATTTAAAAGCATTACAGCCCTAGCCAGCTTCACTCAGTGGATAGAGCATTAGCCTGCAGACTTAAGGGTCTTGGGTTTGATTCTGGTGAAGGGCATGTACTTCAGTTGCAGGCTCAATCCCTGGTCCCAGTCAGAGCTCCTATAGGAGGCAACCAACCAATGTGTCTCTCTCACATGGATGTTTCTCTTTCTGTGTCTCTCCCCCTCCCTTATAATACTTCTAAAAATCAATTGAAAAATATCCTCAGGTGAGGATTTGTTGTTGCAGAATGCATGGGAGAATGCTCAGCCAGCACTCTGGGAGAGGAAAGTTTAACCTTTATTTCACAGATCTGCTAGTCCAGGGGAATTCCAGATCCAAAGCCTGAACTGAACTTGTGGGGAGGCTCTGACCTATATATCTCCTCCTGTGGCAGGCCCCTGAGGGTCCCCACAGCTCACAGCTTGGCCTAAGTCAGTCTTGGTGGGGCACTGGGGTTAGGTTCTGCAGCTCCGCCCAAGTTAGTCAGAGTGGGGAAGTTAAGACTACAGTTTTAACCAGATACTGAACTAGGTTGCAAGACCACCACCCCTGCCATTTTCCTTTTCAGATTAACCGAAAAAAAAGAAAGCACACTAAAAAAGTAAAGCATTACAGAGTTCATATTCATTGAACTTTGATTTTTATAACATTCATCTATGTTGAATATCTAATCTAATAAAAGAGAAACATGCACATTGACCTACCTTTGCTACACCCAAGCCACGCCCACCAGCCAATCAGTGACTTTGGCGTCTGCTCTCTTTTGGGTTTCTATCTCTTCTCACATCTCCTTTAGGGAATCTGACTTGACTTTGCCCAACTAGCTTTCTCCGCTTCAATCTTCCATTTATAGTCCGCTAGCTGCTTGGGTCGCTGGTTCAGCTCTCATACCAACTTACCCATTTGGGAGCATCCAACTCCACTGCCTTTCTCTTGCTCTGGCCTCTGCATCTGGGCACCTTCCAATGTAGCCACACACCCCACCCTCCACCCCCGGAATACAATAACTATTCAGCATTAAAAGTGTCAGGCTTGGAATAATTTTGTTGACTCGGTTTAGAATTGTATTGAGAAAAAAAAAAAGAGAGAGAGATCTTCCATTCTCAAAGAATATTGGTTTTTACTTAGGCCTGCTCCCTCCTGGCAAGTGGACATCCCTTAAGGGCTCCCGAGCTGCCAGAGGGATGTCTGACTGCCAGCTTAGGCCCAATCACCCGGGGAGTGGGCCTAAGCCAGGAGGTGGTCATCCCCCGAGGGGTCCCAGCTTGCGAGAGGGCACAGGCTGGGCTGAGGGACCCTCTGAGTGCACAAATTTTTGTGCACCGGGCCTCTAGTGTTATTATATTTATTTGTTTTTTTGTCAAAAGCAGAACTTCCCATTATTTCATTGTTCTAATGGGAAACATGTTCTACTTTATGATTGTAATTTATGATGGGGGTTCATAAGGTTGAATTTTAGGGACTGTCTTTGTTTGAAAATTGTACTGTACTAGTCTGTACATCAAAGAGGAATTGGTACCTGTGGCATTTTCATCATTTGCCATCTGTGGCTCAATACCTACTTTGCTAATACTTAAAATGATAAATACTGTATAATTCAGTCTATCATGTTAGTTTGACGTAACATGAACTGTGTTTTGAAATATTAAATTTAAGAATCTCTTTATTCTTCCCATAGTTTTTACTTTTCCAGAAAGTGATATAGTTAGAATCGTACAGTATATAGCCTTTTCAGATTGGATTCTTTCATTTAATTGGCCTTTTTGAGAGGGGTGGTTAATTGATACATAAATACTTAAGAGAAAAGATCCTATAGACAAGAAGAGATTGGAGGTACAGGAAGGAGGATTCATTGTATAAGTGGAACAATTGTCCTATAATAGGAGGATATTTACACTGTAATAGGAATTAAGGAAGAGGCTAGGCAGTTCCTACCAGCCTATTTTCACTCTGAGGGAGAATGTAGAAAGAAGAATGATGTTTGGAAGTTGAAGGAAACGGCTTTTTTTGTTGGTTTGTTTGTTTATTTTTTTCTTTATTGATTAAGGTATTACATTTGTCCTTATCCCTCCAAGGAGAAAGCTTTGAAAGAATAGTTGTGAAGACCGGGAGAGGAAGTTTGCCTAGAGAAATGTAATGTTTCTAGACTGTTGAAGGCCCATTTGAGGTTGGTAACCATGAATTTACATAGTGATATCATCAGTCAGTTTGTGTGGCTTTCCTCTAGCAATTCAGGATCCTGGGTGTAGCATAGAGAAAGTGGCTATTTGTTTAATTTAGAATCCTGATTTTGCTTAGTGGGCTCAACAAAAAAATAAAGGGGTGAGGGAACTTAGGGTATTTGCAAGAGAGAAATCTAAGATAGGGATGTGAAGGCAAGAAAAGAAGAAAAACAGGAAGGAATTATAGCCTGGAGGTCTTGACAAAGTTGAAGAGCAATGAGAATGAAAGTACTTGGGAAAGCAAGCTTTTATGGTCCCAGTGTGTGATAGAGTTATTTCAGAGGCAGAATTGTTTTGGATGATTATAAGATATGATTATATGGATTGGGAGGT